TATCTGTTTTCATTTTTTTTTTCTTCAGAAGAGACTGATTGTTGATTGCAAATTACATTTCTCTAGTGATATTTAAATTTTATAAAAACATTTGCTGAAGCATACGGATTGAGAGTTAAAGTCACGAACTTTTGCAAGACGTTTCCCTCTTTTTTATGACAATTAAGTTTCTTTTGTTAGGCACATATACATCATTTTGTTATCGATGATCTCTTCTGCCAAAATTTGCTCTTAGCAGTCGAAATATGTTGCAAAAATGAAAAAACTGACGAGTTATCTGGGGCAAACCTAGAAATGCCACATTTGCCAACTTATTTTCATCCCGTGTTTTTAGTACTATACAAATGTGGCATTTACCAGTTTTCCCTAAATTTACTCCTCAGTATTTACAATTATAATCATTTGTGCAAATACATTTTTTCGTTCAGTGCTAAAACAGCAATTATAGCTCGTTCGAACAACTCTCACAATTTATGAATTACTTTTATAACTCTTTCTAAAATACGTTGGATTCCACACAAAAATGTTGCTGGCGCTTCCTAGACTTCTAGTCTTTTTTAGCATTGCGTAATTGACTCTAAATCAACAAAGCCTTATTTTAATTTGTTAATTATTGTGGACAACTCAACTTTACCGAATCGTCTGTTTCGTTAAAGGACTTACTGGCCTTTTTTACTTTTATTCTTCTTTATCATCTATAAAATCGCCACAGAGTTAATGAAGAAAATAGTGACACATAAAATGCTCTAAATTATGTTCCAATGCCAAATGACAAAGCTAGTATACATGTATGACCATGTATATCAGTACAGATATTAATTGCATTGTGCTGACTAATGGAAGTTCAAGCCTAATCTGACGTAAAATACGCATGGTGCCCATTATGGAGGGGGAACACTTAATTAAGTTTTTTAGACTTTTAAATGCCTGTTGAAGGCAAAGGGGATTTTATAACACATCGATAACATGAAACTTTGAGAGGAAAGTGAATCGAAAGTCCATTTATCATTATAAAGAATATATCCCCAAGGCTTCCGCGCCTATTAACCATTATTACGCCACGCCATTGCATGAGTCTCTTATAACATATGGTCCGCGGGGCTCTGCAGTTGCCACAGCATTCAGAAAGGATATTGACCAGGGCCCAGTTGTTCGAACGCCGGTTAGCGCTAACCCGGGGTTAAATTTTAACAAAAGCAAAAGCACTCCCTTTGATAATTTTCTCTATTTTTTTAGCATATCCAATCATCAAATTGTAGGCGAAGAGAATTCAACTGAATTGGGTTTTTAAGCTTTCATATCTGAGTTCGAAATTGGTTTATCTTAACCCAGCTTCGAACAACCCGGCCCAGTTCCATTCTTCGCGGATGAAGCCTTGCAAGTAAGTGAATTAATTATTATTGTCTAAGCCAGTGGTATATAGGGAGCGAGAATTTAGAGAGTTAGCATCGTTCTCATTATTTATTGGCTTTCCCTATGGCTAAACCAATTACCAAATTTCACCTTGGAAAGTCTTTTTATTAAAAATATATTTATTATCAAAAATCTGACCGATTTCCGTAAAACGGTGGAAACCGGTATGGATCCGCACCTACTAGGACTATGTTACGGCGTTTTTGCGGACCAGTTTATACCTAGACCCATTTTAGGGCATTTTTTTCCCTCCAGAATAGAATCTCCACTACGCCTATGAGCGCATTTGGAGTATAAGATATCAGAAAGGAAAAATAATCATTATTGAAAGGCAAAAATATCAGTTTTTGGTCTGTAGGTTTTGCTGACTGGTTCGTGGAATAAAACGTCGTCCTTTGATAACTGCGGTTTTCCGTTGAACAGCCAGTCTTTATGGGCGCTTATACGAGGTGGGCGCTAATTTAGGGTTAGGCGCTTAATCGAATAAATACGGTAAGTGTCCGCAAGTCCACAATTAGGTAGCCTGTTCCAGGTGTTCAGATAGTGGAGTGCAGCGCGAAGTAAGAGAGCGGGAAAAAATAAGGAGGAAGAGTCAGAGAGAAAAGAGGACCGACGCCATTTTTCAGTGTAACTTCACATGGTTTAATTTGCTGAGTGTCAGACACACAGGAATACGCAAGTGCTTGGAAAGTTGCCAGAATAATTTGATCTTGTATAAAATTCCAGCCAAGGATAAACAGTGGGGTATTCATTACTTGATCGAATATAGCCTGTTCCAAGCGTTAGGATAGTGGAGTGCAGCGCGCGCCTCTTTGCCGATAAGACTGAACACCTGGAACAGGTTAGCAATAAGTCCGTGAAAACGGCAGTTTGTTTGAGACTGTGAATTTTAGCGGGGATTTAAGTAATAACAGCTGTCCGAACCCAACGAGGGGTATTGAAAAAGCCATTAAAATAGCCATCAGTAATCTTTAAGGCATTATATAATGTTCTTTGTGTTGCAACTATATTCGATCACTGAAGTAATGAATACCTCACCGTTTATCCCTCCCTGGAATTTTATACAGGCTCAAATTATTCTGGCAACTTTCCACGTACTTCCGTCTTCCTGTGTGTCTGACACTCAGCAAACGATCATGAGGTCACATTGAAAAGTCGCGTCGGTTAACTCTTCGGCGTACCATCGTCTTGATTTTCTCCCTTCAGTAAGGCCATCGCTTCTTTCTGTGATGCTACTTCGCTGGCTGATGTCTCTGGATGAAAACTGAAACAACCAACAGGCGACTGATAGCGCTGGAAACTAGGATCAACATGTTTCCAGTGGAAGTTCTTATAAAGGCTTGTTGTTCAACGGAAAACCGCAGTGATCAGAGAACGAAGCTTTAATTCCCCAAACCAGTCAGCAAAACCTACATAAAAAATTTTCGCTCCCTATAAAACCCACCTTACGGTCACTTATTTTTGGCCGCTGGCAAAAGACGCCATACATTTTCAGGCAAAAAAAAAAATCCTCGTTAATACGGCCAATTTTTTTTGGCCCATTGGTGACCGTATTGACGGGATTCCACTGTAATAATCCGCTTATTTGCAAGGCTTCATCCGCGGAGAATGGAACTGCCAAAATCCTTTCTGAATGTCTCAGAAACAACCAGGAAAGGGGACTTTAGGGAGTTAAATCCAAAACATTTCTGGAAATTCGAATCAACATGTTTCCGGGGAAGATCCTGTTGGTAGGAAGACTTAATAAGCGCCCAGCCTCGAATAAGCGCCCACCCCTACCCACATTACCTCCCCCCTCCCACAACCACCACAAAAAAAAAAAAAAAAAAAAAAAAAACTAAAGTGGGCATTCTTCACTGTCCTATCGGCATCTCGTCGTATGACTTATTTGCAGACGTTACGCTCTGAGACGTCTACGAGGCATCACCAGAGAGTGCGCTAAAGGATATTATGCACAATGAGGTAGAAATTGACAACGTAGAGTGCTACTAAGGGATTTCCCCGAAGATCGAGTTTGTTAGTATTTTTCTTTTTTAAAAAAAACTTTCAATGAACAATTAAAATTAGTTTCCTAATTAACTTACTACTAACCTTTATCCTCTCTTGGCGCCCAGCCTCGAAAAAGCACCCACCTCGAATAAGCGCCCACTCTCAAGGCCTAAAAGTATAATAAGCGCCCGGGACGCCTAATCTGATAAATACGGTAGGTCCCGATAGGATAATTTCACTGCTCATCGAAGGACAGCAGCGGACACCAGTGGCACACAAATTTGAAAAATATTTCATAAGGGCCTCTTTTCTCGTCTTATTTGTCGTTTTGGTTGGATTAAGATTCTTTTGTCCCTTATCACTCGAAACTATTGTAAATGGAAATGGATGTCCCGGTGGGGTACCTTCTGTAACGGCCTATACAGGGAGGCTTCGCCCAAAAGGAGTAGCTTTTTTAGGGCTTAGGCAAATGAAAAGGTAGGGATTTCTCTAATCGCAGTAGATGAATACGCAAATCTGTGATGCAAATTTCTAAACTAGGTGTGTGAAAAGGGTACCATTTCAATAGAAAGTATACGAAAGGGGTACCTTTTCTGTCAAAAGTGTTATATATATAAGGGTAAGGGATTGGAACTCGAGGCGGAACCGCTTCGTACACAAACTTTGTAGAGTAAGCCCCCCGGGTACATATCCTTCTATTTTTTCAAGACATTTCTCTCCCACAAGGAGTAGTATTGGATTTACAGTGTCAAAATATTAGGGATAGCTGAAACTCTGAAACAAGAATCTCTTCAGTAAATTATTGCTTTTCCTACTACAGATTTCTTAACCTGCATGATATTTAAAATTTTACTTAGTTAACATCATGAACATAACTTTTAAAAGACCAATGAGGACACTATTAATAGACTCAATGATCATGTCAGAAAACATAATTCGATTCAGTGGGCACAAAGACTGCGTTTTAAAAAATAATCATATAGCGGGCTTTCATAACTTATAGTAAATGAGCAACTAGCACTGTATAATACGAGTAAATAGCCACAGTAAACACAAAACGCAAGGCTGCAGAAATTAATATCATCTTAATTTTTTACTTTATTTCCTCATCTAAATCTCGCCGAATGATATTTTACTTTTAAGTGCGCCAAATCTTCCAAGTCTTCCGATGTGTTTTTTAAAACATATTGGAAGACAAACTCGTGAAGTAATAGTACAAGCATTGCAGCACACTGAACTGATAAGTAAAAGTATCCTTTGCGATGTTTTGGACCTCGAAATCGATAGAACCGCAACAAAAAGAACAAGACCAACGTCTTATCACTTTTTTTGCTTGCGGGACCAACAAAAGACATCCCAATCGGGCAATTAAGATAGGCCCATCTTTCCTGCCAGTCTAGCCAATTAGAACACAGGATTTTCTTCATCTTGCCCGCCGGCGGATAGCAGTCATACAATAAAGCTATTAGTGTAGTTATATTGAATATCAACGGGCACTAAGTTTACCCTAAAGTGACAACCTTGCCGCTGAAGTTGCATTGTTCCTCATCGCATAATCAAGGACTTCGTGCTCTCTTTTTCTACAAGGCTGTTGTCTTTTAGCACTGAGAGGAACGGAAAATTAAAGCTGGTATTTGACCACGAGACTGGCTAGAACTGTTTGAGTCTTTTGAGGAAGACTTGAAGGTTACAGTGACATCAGAACACGAGGCACTTGCCATGCCGTCTTCAATATATAAAGATTGTTTCGTTGTTGTTATTCTAGCTGTTGCAGTGTATGTGACACCAGCGCGGATCGAGATCCTTTGAGAAAAATGCACCTCAAACGTCTTAACACTGGACCTGGTGGCATACGACCCAGACTTTTCGGGGATCAAACTGCTTCCACGGTACGAACGAATGGTGACCTGGAAACTAGTTGAACCGCTGCTGACTCCGCACAGACGGTATCCTGACAAAATGACGTCACCGTTTGTCTGGAAATCGATTGCTTCAACGTTTCCACTGCCACTGGGATTATTAGAGTAATTCCAGCCACTCTTGTTCGGACCTCTAGACCGGCTGCGCCAGCAGTCACAGTTCTGAGCTAGGGGGAAAAACAATTATTTAATCGCATGCCCAACTATTCCTAATGTTTGTTTGTTTGTTTGTTGGTGTTGGTGTTATTGTTTTTTCGATAGCTGAACGAAAGAAAGGGTAGAGAGACTCGGGTTTTTCAGCTTTTGTGCGTTGTCTAAATTACTCTGCCAAGGTCTGTTGAATCTGCTTACTGGGAGTGAAGGATTACGATATCCTTGCTTTAAAAACCAGATCGTTCTTTCACGAACAAATCCTTTACAGCCCTTATTGGAGTAATTTTATGCTTCCTCATTCTTGACACGCACTAGTACATACTTTGCAAGATGGATGTCTGCTGATTCAGCCTCGTAGCATCTTTTTAAGGAAGATAACATGCTCTGTTACAAACCTTATAAGTTTACTTAATTAGAATTAAAAAACAAGGGACATACTAGGCCTTTACACAAATATGCGGGTATTTTTTGGAATATTTACAAGTTTCCAAGATATTTGGAAAATTTTAGAAAATTTTAGGATATTTAGAAACTTTAGGGATATTTAGAAAAATTTCTAGCTTTTTTGGCTGTTTTCCAGCTTGTCCTCTCTATTTTCCTGACAGAATACTCAGTTCTTCATTCTATGCTAGAAATAATCCAGTTCAGCGGTTTCCCACATGAATAGTGTATTCCATATCACTAGCAGCCATTTGTCAAAATGGTGGATGCTGGAAACAATGAGCCTGAACTTTATTCTATTTCCATAATACTAGTGTAGATAATCTCTGACATACTTTTCAGCTCCCGCTGGGAAAAGTTTGGCCTTAGGGATGAAAAATCGGCTTATTTTTAAGACATCTTTCACATTAAGTTTGTAAAATTAAACACTTATGCCGATGACTGCCAACTGCACTCATCTGATGTAGACCCAGTGGCCTTGGAACGGCGGATCAATCATGATGTACAAATAGCAAATAAATGGTTCGAAGACAATGGGATGAAAGCAAACCCTGCTAAACATCAAGGGATGGTTCTTGGCAAAACCGATTACCCTTTCTCCTTTTTAACCAGAAGATGCCTGGATCTTTTTGGAATATCTCTAGACAATGAACTTAATTTCAAGGATCACATATCCTCTGTATGCAAAAAAATAAATAATCAGTTCAGTATCTTCAAAAGATTTGGCAAACTTATCTCATCCGAAATTATGCTTCGCCTTTATAAAGTGTTTATCTTACCCCATTTTCACTACTGTTCAATGATATGGCACTTTTGTAATTCAGAAGATTCTGTCAAACTGGACACCTTAAATAGACGTATTTTAAGATTTGTTTTAAAGGACTGGGACTCGAACTATGATGCTCTTCTAGACAAGGCTGGTTTGTGTGGTTTAGCCAACAGGAGGATACAAAATATGATGATTTGTATGTTCAAATGTCTCCATTTTGGTAAATATCCGTGCTATTTAAAACAACTGATCAAGTTAAGATCTACTGCTTACTCCCTACGGGGTACTAATATTTTATCACTTCCTAAGCCGTCTACAACCACATATGGTCTAAATTCCTTTAGCTATTCATCTGTTAAGTACTGGAATTCTCTACCTGATCACTTTAGAAAGACTGTAGATTATAGTGAATTTAAGCGCAAATTGTTAGTGCACAGTTTTAGTTAATACTACATTAATTAATATTATATTATATATGTTGTAACTTTTAAAATTAGTTAGTATCGGAGATACTAGCTATGTAAGCTACACTAAAATCCGAGGATAAATAAAGTTTATGTATGTATGTATGTATGTACAAAAATACGAGACATGTCGAGATTAGAGGATTTTTCGAGATATTTAGAAAACTTTTTGGGATATTTAGACATTTTTTTTTTGAGAATTTCCGGAAAGATATTTAGGCGATTTTACGTGATATTTGTGTAAAGGCCTAGGGCATACGGAGGCTTTAATTTGCCGGTGCACAGGTGTGACTGCAGGTGTAAGTGCAAGTTTAAAGGTGCAGTGTGCGATGACGTCATTATCGTGTCACATTCTTTTAGGTCAAAGTGTAACAATTTTTCAGAATTCCTTTCTTTATTTTTCCGTACGTTTAATTAAGCTTTGTTAACTGTAGTTCATTTTATCCGTTTTCTTTAGTTTCTTTACACGAGTTTAGGTGTTTAGTTATTTCTGTCATTTTTCGCACCTTCGTTAGCGTCTCATTGTATCTTTTTCATCTTCATTAGAGTCTTTTCGTCACTTTTGTTTTCTGTACATTCAACCATGATTCAACCGTATTTTACACCGCAGTTCCTCTGTACAATGTTCAGTTTTGTTTTGGTCTGCGCTAAGCGTACTTCTCTTCAGTGCTTTTCTAAGTTTCTTAGCATTTTACGCAGTCCGCTAACGCAGCAGTTTTCCTTGGCCGTAACAATGTAAGTGTGTTTCACATGTACAGTGCTCGCTTTGTTGTTTCATCGTAATGTCAAATTTTTGGTCGTAGCAACATGTAATTTTTCCTTACCAGGCAAATTTTAGCCGCGCACCTCACTGAATCAAATAAAATAATCTTCGTTTGTTCAGTGGATTTGGTTTGTTCAGTGGTGTTGCTATTTCTGGCCAGGAGAGTTCTTCACTCATTGCAGTTTCACATTCCTTCACACGGACCTATACAAAAATTTATCTTTAAAAAAAGAACTGGTAGCGATACGCTCAAACATTGCCAAAGCTTAGGTCCGAGGATTCTCTGGTATACCCTGAATGACTATTTTAAATATGAAGGTTACCCAAAGAATAAATAGAGAGCTTCAGATTCTAATTAGAGACCTTTAGATTCGAGGACGAGGACGACTACGAGCACGAGATTTGACTTAAAGTTTTTTCACGTATTCTCAACATATAGACTCCCCGGAAAGCTTCATTTTACCATTTTTCCCTAGAAAAGTTAGCACTGTTATCTTTAGCGAAGGAGGTTACGCCCTCTCCCGATCGCAAAATGATCAAACTTCTAACATCTAATATCTTGTTTCCACCACTTCGACATTCGCGCAAAAACTCGTAGTAGAGTGACGAAGCGCGGCTACCACGTTTTCCCGCCAAAATAACGCTGGTTCACGCGCGAGCAATACTTAGTACTAAGAAAATCTCGTACTCGTAGTGTCGTTCTCTTCTTAGAATCTAAAGGTCTCTATTAAGACGAGGACGACTACGAGAACGAGATTTGTGCACGCGTGCGAACCAACGTCATTTTGCCCGGAAAATGTGATAGCCATCGTCATTTTACTAGGAGTTTTAGTGAGAACGTGGTAGTGGCGGAAATTGGTTATCAAATATTAGAAATATTATCATTTATAGCGATCGGGAGAGGACTTTACCTCCTTCAACGGAAATAAATGAACTAACTTTAGTGGTAAAAAAATGTACACTGTAATGCTTCCCGGGTGTTACTTTTTAGAGAACAGGCGAGAAAACTTAAAATTAAATGTCGTCCTCGTCCTCGAATCAAAAGCCTCTAATAACACACATGCATTTTAAGGCGTCAGAAACGGTGCGCGGGAAGAGAGTGAAGAATAAGCGTTAACTCGTTTACAATATGCTGAGTAGATAACGAGAAAAACCTTGAAAATCCGGTCATTACTCAGTAGTGTTCTCCTCTCTCGAGATACCACTCTATAAACCAAACGACCGAGCGTTTTAGCACAAAAACTTGAGAAATTGATTTCAGTCATCCTGCATACCTTTTAGAGTTAGAGTTTAGTTTCTCCAGGTATGAAGGTGTGAGACAAAAATTACGTCATTGGAGACTATACCGCACACTTGCACCTGCAGGTAAAAAATGACGTCATCTTATACTACAGCTACACATCTGCAACTGCAGTTGTACACCTGGAGACTCAGTAGCAAATTTAGGGGCATCTTAGTCTTTTGAATACATAAAAAATTTCAGTTTTGCAAGCGTAGACATTAAAGTCTAATTTGTCTGTCTAAACATGGTGAAGTGCTAATCTTTCAGTAAAATGTTTTATCATGACATATGAGGTCGGCGTAACGTGCTATATACAAACCTGGTCCTTTTTGCACAAACAAGTTCATTGTGGCCTGTTTTGTTCCCATGCTGTTTGTTGCTACACATTGGTACAAACCGCTGTCCACTGGTCTTAAATTCACGATAGTGAGATTTCCTTCCTTAACTTCGGTCTTTCCAACAGGTAAAGGAGAAACAAGTCTGATCCAGGTCAGCTTGGGAGGTGGATACCCTTCTGCCTGGCAAGTTTCTTGTATTGTGGCGGATTCTATTTTTGAGACCAGCGATGAGGGTTTTTTGGTAAAGATCGGAAGACCTAAGAGACGAAAAATCAATATGATGTGACTTAAAAAAGCTATAATTTATTTATTTTTACCCGTCTTCCAAACTACACAGAATCGGCGGATTTCACTTGAAAAGAAACCCCCTCTCGAATAAGCCCCCCTTCCTTCCATTTCAGGGGAAGAAAGTTAGTAAGCCCCTCTCCCCTCTCCCTATTTATTGTTAACTAATAAATTAAAGACTGTATTAATTAAATGTATAGAAAGCAAGGAGCCGATAAATCGTTTCATGAGGAAAAATGATAAGAGTAGAGAAGCGGGAGGGAAAAAACGAAATCATTCAATGACAGCATCTTCATCGCAAAAAATCTTCCTAAAATCTCTTATTTCTCTGGATGACTTGACTAATAAAGCTTGAGCTACCTTCTGATGGATTTCCTACGAGAGTTTAATTCTAGCCGTTGCTTACAATCATCACGCACCCTTTTAACACAAACCATCGCCCTTTTTATAATGACAGTCACCCTCCTGGACTTCATGCCCCCTCAATAGCAACGTAACAGGACCCTATTGTAAAACACGTCAGTAATAAGATAAGCAATCAGCCAGGAAACAATAATCCATGGCTAACCCCTGACGTTGGTAAGACAAAATCCTGATGGCACATCAGCGGCCTTACTAAAGGGTTTTCACTGTAGTAAAGCTCATTGTTCTTGTGATAGATGTAACCATATGAAATAATTCAAATAAGAACTGCGGAAATGAAATCAAATGAAGAATGATCCTCGCAGTTTTAAATGATATATTTCATACATCTATCACATTCATTTCCTTCATGGAAACTTTTGAACACATAATTGACCTGCTCCCAATATCAGTGGCTTCATAGCTCAGTTGGTCAGAGCATCGCACTGGTATCGTGAGGTCACGGGTTCACATCCCGTTGAAGTCCTGAATTTTTTTCAGGTTTCTTAAGCAATTGCATTAATTGCGTTCACAACTGCGAGGATCATTCTTCATTTAACTTATTGTTCTTCTTACCTCGAACCTTCAAATTACCAGACGCCTCAGATGATCCAAGAATGTTTCTTGCCGCACATTTGTACTGACCAGCATCGCTATAGTTCAGATTCCTGACGATCAGCTCTGCTTTTTTAACCAAATACTTTGCTCCTGACAGAAGCTTTCTGCCCTTGAATCGCCATTCGACAGTAGGAGAAGGGTTTCCTCCAACCGTACAATAAATCGCCGTATTTCCTCCTTCATCTCTAGTGTGATTTGCGGGTGATACCATCACTTGTGGAGCAGATATCGATTGTCCAGGCCTACCAGGTGGTCCCGGCATTCCTGGATCGCCCTTATCTCCCTTTACTCCTTTCGATCCTGGAGGTCCAGTCATTCCTGATTTTCCAGGTGGTCCAAAGCTACCTGGGTTACCTTCCTTTCCTCTAGGTCCCCTCCTGCCACGTGGTCCTCGTGCACCAATGGGACCAGGATATCCGGGGGGACCTGCAGGACATACCTTCTCACTTGACTTACAGTACTTAGTGGGCATAAGTTGTGCAAACTGTTTGCGGATTTCTTTTTGCACGTCATGTATACCGATGGTAGCTGAAGTGACATTCAAAACTTGTCTCCGGTTCCTTGGCTTTGCTCTTTTACTTGATTTTCCCGACTCATCTAAGGCCAAGGGAAAATCAATTTTAGGACTGAAACGTATTTGATATTGTGCATTAAAGTTATGATGTAAGAACTCCTTCAATTTTTATTTGCGCATCTTGACTCTGTTACTTTGGACACTGATATGGCCAGCAGTAGCTTTACAAGGTTCGCTTCAGTGGGGTTTGTTTTTAAAACAGCTTTTTCAGGGTATGTATAATTTTTATTTCCCATTTAAGTAGAGTGCGAAATAACACAGGAAGTTAAGTTCGCGCTTAATGCTCATGATTGACAGTTTTACATAAAAGTCCCCGGATGCTAAAATTGGCGAGGGTTCCGTTGGAAAAATAATGTTTGTGGTGATTTGTTTCGCATTTTGTTGAATGCATTTTTACGGATTTTAAAGCGGAAATTTTTTTTGTGGAAAAAACACAGCTGATACGTTAAAGCGTAGCTTGTTTTGAGTTGCCATTCTTCGGGCTGTTTCATTGTTTATCCCTTTGAGGTTTCTCGGCTTTCTTAAAGTACAATTAAAACACTTTATGACAACGCTACTGTATCAAAAGCATTTTACTGCCCTTTCGAGGTCCTAGTTAGCCAAGCTAAAGCCCTGCTATATAGCTCGCCAATAAAACTGTTTTTTAATTCTATTTACACAATATATATGGCATGGGTCGCACTTGGCAAATTTTTGCGAGAATTTGTTTACCTTGCGGTAGAAATCTGTCATCGGTGGACATTGCTAAGTGCGACCCCGAGTTTTCAAGTTAGGAAAAACTTTGAAAATCGGCAAAAACATCAAAGACGCCGTAGTGCTTGGGTGGGGCAGGCAGATTTTGGAAAACTCGAGCTAAACAATAGGAATCACAGCGGTAACTGTCAGCGCCTTGTCATGAACGTGATCCATTTGAAACACGATCAATTTAGAATAAACGCGGTCGAATTTTCAGACCTTCGCTATCCTTCGCCATTTCAAGTTTTTTTCGAAAACTCTCTACAGGCAAGGACTTCGCTCGCTTTTAAACCTTCGCTATTTTAAGGTTTTTACGGGAACGAGCTCTATTGAAGGTGAACCAGTTCCCGTCTGCACAAGCAAACACTTCACAGGTTTGTTATTCTCCAAGCCAAATGTACTATTCGCATCCAAGCACTTTCCGGTCTTCTTTATCTGTCCCATCCTCCTGAAACTGGGAATGGAGGAAAAAGATCCTTCGACAGAGGCGCGGACGAAGAAGAGAAAAATGTTTTCTGGTATCTGGCGTTCTTAAGTTCTCAATGTGTCAAAGCAAAAACTATTAACTCCCACTAATGCGACCCTCCTCGGTTGGACTAAAAGTTTTCTTTTCCGGTTGCGGTTTCGAATTTTTGTGGTTTTTTAGCCGGCAAAGATGAAAACTTTTCCCAAGTGCGACCCATGCCTATCTGTGACTGTGAGTGTGACCGTGATTGTATCAGCTTTCAAACACCTTGTGGGATCATGACGTGATTGTATCAGCTTTCAGCTACCGTGTGGGATAGGACTTTCTCTGCACGGAATTTTATTCCGCATTCACAGACTCTTTTTGTAACTTCCACATTTCTAGTTCAAACTATGCGGAAATTAAAACTATAAAAATTAACATGTACCCCTTTTTCCTTTATCATCGCATGATCAGTTATGAATATAAATTTCGAAAACAGAAATTTTTATCTTGAAACGATTGGCCCAACCTTTTAAAGATGCAATCACCTGAATTTAATTTCCGTTGCGGCCATCCTTTTACAACGGCAAAAGTAAAACATTGTATCATAGAATGGAAGTACTTAACGATACGTTGTCTCCCGATAACTCGAACCAAAATCGATTTCCCCTGGATTTCCTTCATTCATTTACTGTAATTTTTCCCTCGGTAACCTGAACTTCGATAACTCGAATCTCCCGCTAACTCGATTTTTGCTTCCCCTTAGATCATTTCTATATAATTTTACCCTCGATAACTCAAACCATGTCTTGCGCGCTTAAAAATTAGGGTAAAAACAGTGTACTGGCTTCCGAAACATTGAATTTTGAAGTCCCATTGACGTGTTGTAGACATATAGTTTGCTAGTGGAGGCTGATGCTCTTTGTCACAAATCTAACGTGAATCAGCTTTACTTCTCAAAACAGTAAGACGCATGCTCTATTTAGGCTACGTTTTGTTACGTTACGTTCTGATTTATAGCCTAAAAGTATCTTTCAATTTTCACTTAACATAAAATGTGCTTAAAATGTTCACTGTACAGTACAACTGTTTTTACCTTACCTCCGGCTATTTTCTCCCAGCTCCCGATAACTCGAACTTTTTTCGATTTCCCTTGAAGGTTCGAGCTATCACTATAGTCGACGTATTGTTTAGGTAGAGTAGTGGAGGGCATTTATAACAAAAATGAACCAAAAGTTTTTGGGTCCTTCGAGTCTCAAGTTTAGTGTGTAACCTGTAAAACTCTAAAATATGAAATAGGACAGATTTTAACTGTTAAGGTGAACCTACTTCGGAATAATGTTATTATGCCTTGCCCGTCCCCCCTCAGTCTGAAAAACTGTTCTCAACATGCAGTCACATCATAAAAGAACATACGACATTTCTGGTTCCAGCAAGCACAAAATTTCACAAATAAGGAAATATTACCCCCACCAATAAGCTGAGCTTAAAAAAATTGGGGGACTGTAAATGTTTTCGTACTGTCTTGATCCTAACCTGAAATATCGTCGTACTTTATTTCTCTCTGAATTTTTCGTAAGAGATGTCTCGCAGATTCTTCTTTTGGCTTTAGCGTCGTTGTTTTAACACTGTTTTCCGTTGAACGGCCGGCCATTCTTAACAAGAACTTCCAGTGGCAGCTACCCTGCGAGCAGGGGCTACTTTTTTGCGGTATGAGCTGGCGTGCGAAAAGTAGCCTCTGCCGACAACCGTTCAATTTTCTATCGTGCATGCGCAAAATTCGTCACGCGATTCGCAAGCAGCTGGTTCGTCAAATCTGCGTGAGTTTCGCTGGAATCAATGAAACTTGCGAAAACTACCTGCGAACCACTCTCCTCGAGCTTTTGTTTTGTTTTTCTGCTTCGCCCCCTCTGGTTTTAAGTATTTTAGCCGCAAAATTTCCACGGATCGCCTTTTTTAGGAAAGAATTTTAATGCTATCAACTGTAGTACGTCCGGCTTTAATATTACCCATAGTAATAGTTGTGCTCAAAGTAAAAAGAGAAATTCGCCGACAACGCTACGCAGAAGTGATGCTTGAAATAAATTGGATGCTGTAGTCTCACGATTGTGTTTTAAACCAATGTTATGAATGAACAAAGACAAAACAGTAGTCAGAAAAATTATTTAACGAAAAATTTTATTCGAAAACTCATAATTTTATCCTTAAAAGCAATTCGCGTAATAGACTAATACTAACTGGATCGTGGATCATTTTTTCAACGCCAAAATCCGTCTCAAGTCGTATAAAACGTCTATGAAACAACTATGAATACTTAAATTTTCATTTAAAAACGGAACTTCCTTGACCATTAATGTGTAAGTTGTACCTGAAAATTCTTTAAAAACTTTGCCGCTTTGGTTTCTTTTCAGAACAGAACAAGCGTTCCACCGTGAATAAGCCAACCAGGTTGAAGTCCTTGAGGGCGAATCAGTGTTCAGCTAGAACCTTTTTTTCTGCTTTTTCCACTAAAAGAAAACTGATCGATGATTCTTTTGAACATTCCGGTTCCCATCTGCGTCTTAAAACAGTGCATTTAGCCTTGCATTGAGAGGCGCCACAACAAAAATCACCGCAGTATCCATTTTCTTTTCCTGGCAAACAAGAACTACCATATGATAAATTAACGATCTTTACACGGTCCCGTAAGAAGCACCGGCAGCAGCTTGTTTGGTATTCCGACAGCTTTAAAATACAGAGCTTATTCAAGTTGTTGACGCCGCTCTTTTAATACATAAACAGGGATTTTTGAAATTGTTTTGAACTTTTCCTGTTGTTACGTTTGAGCTACGTTGATCCGCGTTCGTATGCGAGAATTTGGCGCGAAGGGATGCATGAAGGCGCAATAATGGTCAGCGTTCATTCGCTGACGCAAGACTCACGCAATGCTCTAAACCGGTCAAGAACAAGAAAAAAACCGTTTTTTAAAATTTATTTGTCCAGATTTCTGGACGGATTTGAACGGTTGTCGGCAGAGGCTACTTTTCGCACGCCAGCTCATACCGCGAAAATGTAGCCTCTGCTCGCAGGGTAAGTGGCAGCATGTTGATGCGAGTTTGCAGCGTGGTGAGTCGCCCGTTGGTTGTTTCATTCTTCATCCAGAGACATCCACAAGCAAAAAGTAGCACCACCGAAAGAAAAGATGACCTAATTGAAGAGAGAAAATCAAGTAGTGGATGGCTCTTCGAAGAGTTAACCGAAGCCATTTTCATGCAGTGCAACTTCACGATCGTTTGCTCTCAAAGACCTCAGACACACCGGAAGACGAAAGGCACAGGAAAATTGCCAGAATAATTTGATCCTGTAAATTCCAGCCTAGAGAAACAGAGGTGTAAATTATTTGGATATCTTTGTTACACAAGGAAGCATTTTACAATTCCTCAATTCAAGGATTTCCTGAAGTGCTACGCCTGGTTCTAGTGTCATATCAAGATGCCCAGGGAATTATTCTCAGTGTATTCTGCCAGTTGCTTTTATTTTTCATAATCTCCCTCGTTGGGTTATTTTTTATTGTCGCTTGAAAGGAAACAAACAAATTCCTATTCGTCCTTCATGACCTTTTGTAACACATGCGCTTAGTATTCCACAAGGTCAATAAAAAAATAGTCCTTGTGCATGTTTACGCAGACGAGCAAATTTCAGGCAACCAAGGCTAAGTTTGAAATTCAGTGCAAGTTTGCGATGGTTTGCGTTGACTGACCAGGATGATTACTCTTGAAAATGTTGGTGGTATCAGTGCGGCAACCCTCATGAAAACTCTCCCAATTTCAGAGAAAAATAACTCATTTTACTCGCAGAACCAATTCTCGGCTTGCACTGTCACGCAATGAAAAATAAAAATTCAAACCATTCAATACAGAAGGACTAGAGTCTGGGAAATGAAAAAAGATAAATATACAAAAACCCTTGCCTAGAATTAGGTCTGTGAAATATTTCAAATGCAAGATATTGGGAAAAACGGTTTACCTAGATTTATAAGGCTTTGTATGGAAACGCCATGTTGGTGTCCCTTTCAGGAACACCAATATGGCCGCCGGATACTAACAGAAACATCTGTTTTCGAGTTTTCCTACTAATGCGTGAATAGTTCGCTTGAGGAACTCATAAAGATTACAGTAATATTTCTTCTGGGACAAGGAATGTTTAGATTGCAATATCTCCCAAAATCGGTAATGTTTTTAACCCAAATAAGAGCTTTCCCGGCCGCCAGTAAATGCCGCGTCACGCAAAAGCCTGGAAATTCAAGCGTCCTCTCTCGCAAAACGAAGAACCTTTTCGAACCAAAAATTTGTTTATGTACAGGTGTTTAGATACTGTAATACCTCGTGAAAGTAGAAACTCAGAAGAATCGATAGTTTCCTAGTTTGATTTTTGGTGACGTCACGTGCAACCCAAGAATTCCCTACTTCAGAAACCCTAGGGAGAATGGGTACAAGTTTTTGGCGCAGAAATTTTTGGGTTTTCTTGGTGGACAAGCGGTAGTTAAGATTGGTCGACGGTATTTAAGAAATCAAAGGTAACTTTTGTGCTCCCTCAAAGATCCGAGAAATCGTTGCGCCGAATGATATTGTATCCATTTCCTTTATAGTATCAGGAATGGTAGCCTGGGGGGAGCACAAATAGCTATTTCTTAGCCTGCGTGGCGGGCGCAAAAAGGGGAGGGGGAGGGGGGAAAGAGGGGAAAAGCGCGAAAAAGGGGAGAATGAAAGAGAGCTTACCCTCTCTCCCCAATCCCTCTCCCTTTTTCCCTTTCTCCCTATCCCCTACCCCTTTCGACGCCTGGCTACTATTTTCTCGAAGGGTAAAACAAGAGCCGAAAAAAGTGTCTGCTCCCCGCCGAGGCAGGCTGCTGGATGGGGAATACAGGAAGAGGTTTGCTGCGATTGGCAAAATGCTTTCAAAAGAGTGTTTAGCAAGAAACTGACACTGAACTAACCTCAGTAAAACGCTCAATTAAAGGAGGCACCGATAAGGCAGTTGATCACAGTGACTTAATTTTAACAAAACTGGGAGAGTTAATTCACAAGAGGACAAAGAATGTGACTGTTTGGTATAAAAGAAACGTGACAGAGTGAGACTCAATATAATAGCTTAGAAAATAAAATACAATGGATAGTATAAATAGTTTCACCACATTCTGGTAAAAGTCAACCTTACGTTACATGTATTGTCCCGCTTTCGCCGATTTAGAAACAAGAAAGGCAGTGGTGCCGAAATTGTCCCGCAATTATTTCTGGGGTCGTTACTGGTGACGCATGGGGCAGTTATTAGGGAGCTTTGGTAAAAGCGTTTTTGAGAGACGCACGTCAACCGGAAGTGACGACTTTTCCCTTTAAGTGATATGCTTTGACGCTATAAAATTTGTATTGCTTGGTTTCTTTACACTTAACTTGTAGAGACGATTTAGCTGAAAATTTGGGCAAAACCACTGCTCAGGAATGTAAAAAGTCCACTCCCGGTTAAAGTGCGTCATTTAAAAACGCCTTTCCTTACGTTCCCTATTGGCCAATACCTTATCATCACTTATTTTAGCGAGACTTAATTTTCACGATTTTCGCGATTAAAAAAAAAATGCGCGAAATTTAAGTCCCGCGAAAAAAAAAAAGGAACGGCATTTGTCAATGAATGCACTGAACAAGCACAGTCTGTGTAGATTTAAGCTCCAATTTATTGGTCAAGACTCGAAGAGTGGCCGATAAGTTCAAGTAAGTTTACTTGTTGTCCTAGGTCTGTCCCCAAAGAAAACAAACGGTACCTCATAGTTATTTTTTTATCAGATAGTACTGTTATGCATATTTACACACAACTGTTCGCCCGGGCCCGATAATGAGGAAACATATTAATAAACTTAAGGCGAGCTCAAAAGTCGGCCCGATTTTTCTTTTAAGTCTTTTATTTAATAGTATACAACAGTAGTATAGTATATGGAGTTACGAGGACATTTCCATATTTTGGGTATTTGACCTTGAGTTGAACTGGTAGTTGAACTGGTAGTTGAAATCAAGGTCAAATACCCAAAGTATGGAAATGTCCTCGTACCCCTACAAACTATACTTGTCTACTTACAACTATATCCCCCGAAGGGGAGGTGAATAGTGGACAAGCCAAAGTTCTTCGATTTCTTGGTATTGTTTGGACGACTGCTTCATTTATCGCACAAATTTGTTCTTCCAAAAATGTCTTGAAACGAGACGCCATCTTGGCTCCGGTCGCAAAACAATATAAATAGCCAAGGATATTCCGAGCCTACGCGCGAACATTACTATTCACTGATTTGGTAAATACTAAACAGAAATATTGACTCTAACATTCGTAACCTGTAAATTGGCTGCTGGCTGCTAAAGTTCCTTATTGTATCCGTTGCCATAACTTTTGAATTTATCTTGTAAAATGGTAACTAAGGAGGCCTATTAAGCTTGAAGTCATTGCTTCCTCCATTAATTCTTTCTAGTTAGTATTTTTTTGGTTCCAATTTTCATGACATATGCATAGCAAGAAAGCAATTAAAGTAAAACTAAATTGAATCAATGGGTGCGGTTACACCAAACCTTTTCCCTAAACTCTACTTGGGGAAATAGCTTGGGTTAGGTTCGCTCTTGGTTGTGATCACTTTCATGTTTGCGGTTACAAGAAGATGAACTCCTTTTAGACCAGACTGAGGCCCGAAGGGCCGAAAAAATTTCTTTTGGGGACCGGGCTCCCCCTTATCTCAGTTGTGCTTTCAAATCTTGAGCCCATTTTCGCGACTTTTTGGGGCCATTAGATGAACACATGCATGCAGCTCCTAGATAACAAATGATTCCTACTGTTTGGTACATCTTTCTCGTCATTGGTTGAGCCGCTTTGGGTTCTCATTAAGCCTGTAGAACTATATACCTCGGGAACAGTCAACTGTTTATTCTTTTTGACGTAACCATGGGAATTTCCCCGTGGCAACTTCACCTTGGGGAAACTTTCCCGTGGTCAACAGCCTCTTGCCGTTGAACGGCTAGTGCAACCGCACCTAGTATTTTTCATAGATGATACGGCCTTGCTTGACGGATGAAGTAAAAGAAAAAAAGACATAAAAATCAATAATGTTAGTGAATCCCTGCCTTCTTTTTTTACAAGCCTATTCCCATTTCAGCACTGAGAGGAACGGAAAATTAATGCTGGTATTTGACCTTGCGACTGTCTAGAGCCGTTTGAGTCTTTTGAGGAGGACTTAAAGTTCACTGTGACACCAGAACACGAGGTACTTGCCATCCCGTCGTCGAGATAAAAAGATGTTGCACTTGTTGTTTTTTTAACAGTTGCAGTGTATGACACACCAGCACGGATAGCGATCCTTTGGGAAAAATGCACCTCAAACGTTTTGACGCTGGAACTAGTATAGTAGGACCCAGTCTTTTCGGCGATCAAGCTGCTCCCACGGTATAAGCGAATGACGACTTGAAAAGTAGTTGAACCACTGCCAACTCCCCACAGACGGTACCCTGATAGAATGACGTCACCATTTGTCTGGAAATCGATTGCGTCAACTCTGTTGTTAAAGTAGTTCCAGCCTGACTGAGATGGACGCTTGGACCGGCTGCGCCAGCATTCACACTTTTTTAAGGAAACTAAGAAATTGAAGTAAATACTATTAAGTGCAATTTTTTATTATCACGCTGTTTTGGAACAGAGTGAAGTGAAAAGCGTAAAATGACCGGGTTTACATGAAACAAACTTCAGGCCCCGGTTGTTGAAGCGTTGGATAGCGTTATCCGCCGGATAAATCACTATCCAGCGGATAAGTATAACGGAGATCAATTACGCTGTCCACTGGATAGTGATTTATCCTGTGGATAGTGTTATCCATGTTTCGAACAACTCGCAACAAAGTTCCTAGTACCCAATTAAGTTGCTATTTTCTGTACAATTTAGCTTCTCTCTAGACTTATGTTACGCACAGATTTATCCGCTTTACAGACCCTTAGGAAAAAAAGATTACTTTCAGTCGCCAATCTATTATTCCTGACAAACAAAGCTTGGTTTGTGGCACGGGTGAGGAAGTGGCGGAGGACCCCCTCACCCTCTCCCCGATGAAAAGTCCTGCCTTCGCTCCTGATTTGCTGCTTGAAAATTATGATCAGATGGTATTGTGCACTGCAAACCATACGCAAAATGGCTTTTCTATTTAGAACTAAACTCAAAGACGTGTCGCGTTCCTGGAATTTACCCCAGGCTACATTTATTTAAAAAAATGAAGCAATTATTTCTTTAGTAGTTATCCGATGTACGTTTGTAATTTGAGCACGTTTGAAATTCGCTAGGTGAATCAGCCTGGAACTGCATGGGAATGACACTAAGAAACTGATGCAAATGATTTCTCTCATATTACGAGATTAATATTCAGCTATAAGCGTGTGTGTTGTGAATGTTGCAAGCTATGAAAATTAATTCCTATTTAACTTTTTTCTTTTTGCTTTTTTCTATGACAACCTTATTGCAATTAGGTGTATGTATTTCAGAACGATTGGACTTGGTAAGCAAATCTTTTCAACAAAAGTTGTTTCTTTCAATATAATTCACTATTTTCATACTTGTTGTGGCATCTTTTGACTCGATAATAGTCGATTTGTGTACTTCTGCGCCAAAGGTGCGCGTGCGTGAGTATATTTTCCAGCCACACATTTTTTGTATTTCATAGCCCGAATCGCTCGAACTCCTTCCTTGTTTTTTGTGAATATCACTAACGATAAACCCCCTTAACGTAAAAACGTTCAGCTGCGAGAGAGCATAAGCCTGTATACTTCGATTTACTGGCTTATCTGTTGTAGAAGTTGCTAAAAAACTGGAAAAATCCGAATGTTGGGTTGTAGAATGATCATGGAGAAATGAAGGTTTTGAAGGCAAGAAACTAAGGGGAAGACCAAAAGCCCTGAATAAAGCAGCTAAAATAGTTTTAAAGAAGGCTAGATACAAAAAAAGGAGACTCGACAAGGAAGCTCAGTCTCACATAGTTAGCAAGCCAAATAAAAGGGTCATGAAAAACTGTTTGAAATGTTTAAAACTGTGGATAGCGTTATCCATGTTTCGAACAACTCGGGCCAGAACAACAAAGTTCATAGTACCCAATTAAGTTGCTATTTTCTGTACAATTTATCTTCTCTCTAGACTTATATTACGCACAGATTTATCCGCTTTACAGACCCTTAGGAAAAAAAGATTACTATGTGAGCTAACATTATGGTTTTCAGTACACTCCAGGAAAAATGTTGAAATTCTCTTTCCCATGCAATTTAGATAGTTAAATTAGTGTTACGTTGTAAAAAAGCACACTCAGTACTTAGGAACTCCAATCTACTCATCAGGAAATTTCTCAGTGTCAGTTGAACATCTCAAGGACGAAGCTCTTCAATTCATGCCCACTTTGGCTTGAGACGACACACTAATCTTAGCAAACCAAAACTGACAGCTCTTGCCTATTATTAAGTATTTGATGCCAAGAGTGATTTTTGATTGAGAGCGAACTGACTGGTGGCCAAAGTGTTGAGGAAGCCAATTTCCTATCATCAGTTTACTTTGCTATATGAGCTTGATACTCTACAACTAATGTATTCAACTAATGACAATATTTGCGTTGGTTAAACCAAATTGTCACCTTCCCCACTACTTTGGGCAAACAGGCACCACGACTCCTAGAAACAGGTAACTGAGAATTCGTTTTGTCCCTTTAACTTTATCGTTGCTATTTTTTTTTTTTTGTTTTTTTTTTTCAGGTTCTATTTTTCAGTCAATGATTCTTTTTTAAGCCGATCGTTAGTGGAGGGTAGTTTTCCTTGGAGTTTTGTCTCTAGCTAATTTTTTGGTTTATTACGTAACCATTACGTAATTTGTTTGTCCTATTCAGTTTCGGTAACCTATATAAGTCTGTAGTCAGTATCCATGAGTAATCACTGTACATAGTTTTAGTTTTAGTTTTTGGTTTTTAACCATAATCTGAAGAACGCCGAAGGTCGAAAAGTTGTTAAATCGTGTTGCACCTCTAGTTCAGTCTACAAATTAAGTTGGTGACCGTGGCATTGTAACTTCTGGATCGTTCTTCTTCTCGGAGTTCATCGTTTGGTTTAACCTTTTTATTCTGCTCGTAATCAGTACGGGTATTATCTATAAAACCGTCCAGTTAGACAACAAAGCCGTGAACGTTTGCTTTTAATGAACATTTGCTGCACAATGAGGAAATAATTCCACTTTTCTGTTACCATGTTCCAGTTTGGCTGGTTTGTCAAGTTAAACAGACTGGCGTGCATCAAAAGATTGCAAATAGGTTCTCAGCTTTAAAATTACTGATGTCACGTTAAGGACGGACCATAAGAAAAGTTATGGGGGGGGGGAGGGGAATTTTCTAGCCGCAGGAATTTTTTTTCGTTATCAAACTCCTTGTATGAAATTTTTCAGGCCCTTGCATGAATATTTCTTAGGGTTAATTGGCGTGCAAGAATTTTTTTTAATTTAATTTTCCCTTGCGCGAATTTTTTTTGGTACTTCGCCCGCCCCATGGTCCGTCCCTTACCTAGACCCTCTATAAGCCCGACACCTGTCTAAGACAGACAGTCATGGTCGGTCCCGGCAAAGGTGTCCCACTTAGAGAGAGTTGAATGTAAAGCTACAGAGCTCCTCGCTAAAAGGAAAAAAAGTTTCTCTAATCCACAGGCGGCCCAGACTTAGTGTGTGTCAATATATTAATATTCACATGTCGTCGAAACTCCCATGAACTAAAACAGTCCAAAAGTCAAAATATAACAAAACAAAGCTAACATACTTTTAACTGAACGTATCCTTGTCTTTCCTGGCCGATTAAAGTGGCATTTTGTTGAGTTTTGCAATTGTAGGTACCATCCACTAAAGAAGAATTAAAGGCTGGCTACAAAACAAACGGACCATCTACACTCGCCTTCTCGCGAAACGCTATAAATTCGAGAATAATCAACGAATCCGCTCCAAATTGCCATCGGCTAATCTGCAGGTAACGTGTGCTCCGGTTTCTTGCTCGCTTGCGCCTGAAGCAAGCCAGAAAATGCCTGTAGGAAAACAATCGCTTAAAGGGACGGCGCTCCAATTATGCGCACTCTCGAGCGTTATCTGTTTTTTTCTCTTTTAAAGACAATAGAACTGTCAAATTATATCATGATTTTCCTCCGGACCGGACCGCCGACAGAGATTTATTACTTACATTCTCAAGTAATCGAGAAATAAAGTAATATGTCGAGGCGGGCAGTGAATAATTTGGAAGCAAAAATTAAACACCACATGGATGAGTGTATGCCGTTGCGGTCAGTGCGCATGTCATCGCGTGATCCGGTGTGGATGACACCCTTAGTAAAATCGTTAATGAGGGTAAAGTCAAGAAAAGCTCCAAGCAATAAAGATCGGCTGGCTGGGATTAACAGGAAAATAAGCGAATTGATTAGTAAGAACAGAAGAACACTCGCAAAGGCACCTGTCGGATCCAGAGAATGGTGGAAGCACGTAGATAATTTGTCCCAACGACGCAGCATTTCTGCTAACGTTACATTGGACACTAAATCACTGGAGGAGCTAAACGACTACTTCGCCGATAGGTGCACTGATGACACATATACGAAGCCTGTACCAGCTATTGTGGATAAGAGCTTAGAAGCCCCTCAGATATCAGAAAGACACGTGTGGAATTGCTTACAACATATGAAGAAAACCGCTATGGGACCAGACCTCATTCCCTTTTGGATTTGGAGGGATCACGCTGAGATCTTCACAAGTGTCATTCGTAAGATCTGGAATGTTTCCCTGAAAACTAGCAAGTGGCCCTCCTCGTGGAAAAGGGCCCACGTGACGCCCCTCCCTAAGGTCGACATCCCTAAGGGCAAGCAGGACTTCAGAGGAATTAAGATCACGCCTGTAATTGCACGCGCGTTCGAGAAATCTGTGTATAACACCCATGCACGAGATATTGTCGAACAGCATCTGTGTTCAACATAGTTTGCTTATACGACAGGGGGGAGTTGCAATGATGCACTCTTGAGCATGCAGCACACCATCTACAGCTATTTAGAAGAGCAAGACTGCAAAGCCGTCCGAGTATTTGCAATGGATTTTAGTAAAGCATTTGACTGTGTCAATCATGAACTCCTGTCATCTAAGCTTAGGCAGTTGCCATTGAATCCCCTTATTGTGAACTGGTATTTAAGCTTTCTCGAGAAACGCCAGCAGCGAGTAGTTTATAACGGTTTTGAAGGACAGTGGCGTGAGGTAAATAGGGGTACGACACACGTGTTTATTAATGACTTAGAAATCAATCTAGAAGGTCGCCCAGCCTTGTTTAAATATGCTGATGATTCTACAATTATCGTCCCTTTTTGGGGAAA